AATATTCTATAGTTCAACCGGGGTAATATTTAGTTAGTCTGATAATTGATTATGAATGCAGACTAAAGTTTTCTGAAACGGGAGCTTATTTGTTTGTTTGTTTGTTTATGTTTTTCAAGCCAATGATTTCAGCATATGGAGAAGTGAAACCCTCTTTCACTCAGCAAATATTTCCTAACCTCCCACTGAGCACTCCGGTGGTAGAGGAGCTCATTGATGTCACACTGCACGGTCCCCAGCCGGACGGGTGTTATGCAATGAAAACTTAACTTGTGTCACTATCTTTATGCAGGTCACACAACTGGTCTCTCATTAAATAATGACCGGCTGTACAAGCTCACATACTCCACTGAAGTTTTTCTTGACCGGGGCAAAGGAAAACTGCAGGACAGCGTGGGCTACCGACTTTCAACCGGTGTGGACGTTGTCTTGCTGTGGAGGAATCCTGACGGTGATGATGACCAACTGATCCAAATTACGGTGCGCATTTTCTACCAGAAAAACACCAAGATCAAATGTCAGCAAAGTCTTTGGGAAGTGGACCATTGGATAGCACTTGTTTCGTGTTCTTAGTTAGATATCTATTTAGTTTGTTATCTATCACTAAAATAAGCAGATCTATAATTTTGAAGTTTTTACTGATCGAAAGTGAGCTGGTCTTTCCAAATTGTTGAAGCAGGCAATAGAAGGTGCACCCTGGTGAGCAATTGGAGTATGATGTCCAATTCTACGTATCATACTAATAGGGACATTAAACCAAAGTCCATTCAAAATATTCTGGCAGTGAGGAGTCTAGAAACCAGGTCATGTGAAAAATGATTGGGATCACTCTAACTGAAAGAGGAGATAGATTAGGAGGTGCCTGAGTTCCTTGATCTAACAGGTGGAATTACCAATGAGGGAGTAAACCTATTCTGTATTCTTCTGGAGGAAGGAATCATGTCCTCCCCTGCATGACAGCGACTCAACAGTTACAATGGTTTAGATTTATGTGTTGAGAAGAGAGACGAATGGGGCCTTTTCCAATTTTAATATATGGTGATTCCATATTTGCTTCTCAAGAATACAAAGTTGGTTGTTTTTCTGCATGTAAGTGTGAAACAGGGACACAGGACCAAATACTTGGAACTAGCAGTTCCTGATGTCCTTTATAATGAGCTGTCATTGCAACATATTTACCAAGTGATCTTTGCTTTCCTGGATGTCTCTAAAGCTATTGTGTTTTCCAACTTTGATCAAAACATCACCATGCACCTCTCTGAGGCATTTCTCAATAGAACATTACATACCTCAATATTCCATAATTAGGCTGTTTAGCCTTACTTTTAAATTTACAGATGAGGTAGGATGGGGCAGGAATCTTCTCGAACAAGTGGAACAGGAAGCAAGGTGATCAGGCAGAGCACAACCGTGCAAAACAAATGAACAGAGTGACAATGACCTAAAATTCACAGTTATTGTAAGACTGAAGTCACAGAATTCTTTAAGTATCAATATTATTGCCTTACTCAAAAATCTAATTTTTTAATACCTTCTCCATTGTTTTAAGGTGAGTTTCAAGCTCCTATAAATCATCAATTGAAAAACGACAGAAGAAATTCGGGCCAACCCTGCCTGCTCCTTTACCATGTTATTTTCTAAGAGACTCTGATGAAGACAGAAAGTTTTTTAATAAATTTCTTTCTATGACTCCAGATAAAGAATGTACATGTTGAAAATGTGAATCAGCAGAGAGG